TGGTTTTATATATATATATATATATATATGAATAATGCTTCCATAATTTTTAGCCTTTTTTTTCACATGTAAATGACGATGTTATATTTGTATTATCAACAAGTATGTTATGGATAGTGTTTGGTAGATCTCCAGGTATATTTAAATGAAAACTAATTGATTTATGGTCAGAGAGATGTAACATGAGTTGTAGCATGTTGTAGTTTATCCAATATACTTATGTAAGAATTTGGATTGGTCAGTATATATATATATATATATATATATATATATATTGAGAGAGAGAAATATTAACAGCCGCAATATCATAGATAGGAAACCAAACTTGAAATTCCATACTGATTACGATATTGTATCATTACTATATATATATATATATATATATATATACATTGAGAGTTAAATAGTAACAGCCGCAAAAACATAGATAGACGAACAAACTGATATATATATATATATATATATATAGATAGATAGATAGATAGATAGATAGAGGGAGAGCTCTATGTCAAAAGACAGAGCAAAATTATTAGTAATTAAAGAATATAAAACAATTAAAATCCCATAGGTAATAATTTTTATTTGAATTCACAGTTGTCCTTCTCCTAGACCAGTTGTTAATTCTTCTAGACCAATCACCCTAGGGAAAGGTAAGAATCCTATCCTCTTATTCTTACTCCAGCTATGTGTAAATAGCAGGACAGACTGCGTTCTATAGCATTAGACGGCTACATACATAAATACATACATACATACATATACATATATATATATTTCTGTTTATATGTTATTTTTATAGATATAATTTAAGTAAATGCTCTGTTCCTTCCAAATATTTTTGTTCGGTAGTGTAGATAATTGTATAATTTTCTCTTCTATGTATATATTGCTACCCATTTATGCTTTTGTTGTTCTTGGAAATATTTTTAATGATGTAGTTTTTTTCATAGTATGATGCGAGTACGCATCTATATTTTATTTGATCTCTGACTCGTGATGTCTTTACAACATGATTGGGTGTCCGGCTAAACAAATTATAATTAACTAGATTTATATTTACATTGTTACTTTCAATTTTGCCTCCATTTATCGGGGTGAAAGTGTAAAGGTTTGAGACAGGTCAAATTTAGGGATAAATTTGGGAAAAAAATGAGCGGTAATTTTAAATGCAGAAAAGAATTAAGCCGTGTTTTTGGTGCAAATTTTAACTAACGAAATAATCCTAATAAAGTGAATTTCAATATTGAATGAACGTATTTCAACGTCTGAAATATCGTATGATACAAGAATGTTATAATTATAGCTAAATTTAAATATCTAGGAAATATTTTAACAGAGAACGTAAAATACGACACCGACATCCGAAGGTGCAATGGAATAGAAAAACATGCCTTCCAAAAGGAAGCAATTTTTAAAGAAACAGGACAATTTCATTACCTGTCTATTATTCAGAGATGACATATTGTAATTATTTATACTATTTACATTGTTCGGACTATTGTCCCCATCTTTATTGTCATATTAACAACCTTTCGAACGTTGTACGCTCTGGTCTTCTTCAAGTGATATGCGTTGCAATTTCGAACAGAACCCTTTATTTTGTCCACGGAGCAAGATTGTTCAAGTTTCACATGTCATCCTTTTTCTGGATATCTCAGTCTCAGTTTAATAATTCAATTCGTAAAGTTTTTTGTTCACCTCACAACGCTTTAGGTCAAGACGGTTTTGGATGATTCAACCCACGCATTTATCCACTAGGCCTTCTTCCTGTGATAAGCGTGGGAATTTCGAATCATCGCCGTGGAACCATCTCTTAACTATTGTTGTTCTCAGGTCCACCCTGACCTGGGGTGATGGTAACCTGTTAGGTTGGCAGCTATGGGAAAGTAGTGAACCCTCAAACAAAAATCAACAGTAAATTTTTATAATAAAAAGACCAACAATATATTTGTATCGCAAATGACCATCAATAGAACACGAAAATAGATTTCTATAGTAAAATTATCAGCAGTACATTTTATGATATAGAAAATATCTGTAATTTAAAGCATAAAATTACATACAAAATATTTAGATTTCGACATTAAATAATTTCCAGAGGCTGATATGCAGCTAAAAGTCAACCAATTGCCAACAATACATATTTAAATCAAAATGACCAACAATGCGTTTAATCTGTAGCTGAAGGCATAAAATATACATTTAGATGGAGCGATAAAATTGTCTTCAAAATAAGTAAAGTTCGGCATTAAATAACCCATAGTGTTTCATATGCCGCTAAAGAAAATCAACCCAAACTAGCCCATTATATACATTCAGTGGATATGTAAGTCTAACGAAATACTTTTCTCTTTCGTTATTGATTAATTTATTAAAATATATTACCTTATTTTGCGAATGATTGTGAGTATTTGGATCAGCCAAACGTTTTTTCTTCTATTTATGTAAGTCTTTTGTTAAATCACTTTCCTAGCGGTAAATTATACCATAGACACGGTTACAGTTTTTTTAACTATTTATTTACTTTCTCATAATTTGGGAAAGTGGTATCTTAATGCCAGATAAGGAAATAAAACAAATATGACAAAGAAAAGAGTTACTGTCTGGAATATCAAGAGAAATTACTATGTGAATTCTGTTTAACACGTCGGGGAACATATTTTTTCTTCCATAACACATAATCGTTCTAAACCCGGCTGTTCTGATCTCGTCCACTTTGTATGAACCGGTAATCAAGGACGTGGCCCCAGAGATCAGCTTAATTAATTAACGGAGATTCACGAATCTGTACACGCGGCAACGAATCCGCTGGACATGAAATGTGTGAATTACCTTATCACTTTAGCCTGCATCGAAAACTTCATTAGCTCTCATCTGCGCATGCGCATCTTGGCAGACTAATCGAATGAGAGTGAAGTTCTGAGACATGGCGTGATTTCAAAATGGCTGCAGATTTTTTTTATTATACCACGCGAGTGTTTTGATATTGGTCTTATTTGCCATTATCAGCTTGTTAAATCAGAAATCACAAAGAGAAAAAAAATGGACACACCGTTACAAGAATAAAATGAAACAAGTTTATGGGTAACAAGTATATTTAAAAAATGCCCCTCTGACACTCTTTGTTAACATACCTTTAATTAAATATGAAAGAATAATTTTTTAATAAAGGCCGATTGAAAAGGTTTTAAAAAGACCAGATTACCACATCACTTATAGCAATTATTAGCAAGCTAGTTTTGATAGAGCATCTGTTTACTGAATAATCATCAAATTATTATTAAATAATTAATTACACGGTGACGAATTCATGTGCTAATATAACAGACAATGATATGCTTAGTAACTACACTTGTACGAAATAAAAAAGCTCGATTTTATTGCAATTTACGATGGAATGAAATGGTAGGTTTGAAAATCTATTCTAAATTAATTTGTTTTGAGAACGAAAAAGAATGGGCAGTAAGTTTGAATAAACAGACATCTTGAAATAAACAGACAAGTTGGAGATAACTGGAAAATAAAAATAATGGATGGTCTAGAATTAGATTAGAAAAAAAAAATCAAAATTGAAAGTGACGGCCAAACGCGAGAGTATATATTGCAATAATTGAAAATAGGAAAGGAAGGAGAAAGGAAATGAGATAAGATTAAATAACCTCCTGCTGAGGTTTGAAATCTTTAACGTACAGCATAATATAAGTTTACTCACAACCATTCTACGCCAGGCAACGATGAACTCGTTAAAATGATATTATAAAAGAAAAATCAGAAAAGGATAAACAAAGAAAGAGGGGAAAAAAGAAAGAGGGAAAGAATGAAAAATAGATAAGGTGAGAGAAAGAACAGGGGGAAAGAAAGAGGGTTAGAAGAAAAGAAAGAAGAGAAGGAAAGAAAAAAATAGAAGTAAAACAAATAAACAGCATAAGAAAAGAAATAAAATTTGATCAAAAAAGACGAATGAATGAAAGGAAGATTTTAAGAAGGATGAATTAAAAACAAAACAAAAGTGTCCATCCAGGTCGATAAAAAAAATAAATATTGAATGAAAAAAGATGAATTATACGAATCGATAGAAAAACTATTAGAAAGTATAATTAAATGAAAAGAAACAACGAATAAAGATAAGAAAGAAAACGAAGAAAAAGAAAGAAATTTGCTCGAGTAGAAGAATTAATCGACATAGAACGGAAAGTATGGAAATTAAAGAAGAATCACAAACAGATTGAGAATAAAAAAGTAAAGAGAAGAAGATAAAAAAAAACGGAAAGAATTACGATTTGTTTGAGAATCACAGAAAATTAAAAATAATATGAAAGAAAATCAGAGTGAAAGAAATTCCATTTTCTAACTTTTTCAATGCTAATTGAAAATAAAATACTAAATCTTTAATAGCTTTTCCCGTTTCTTCACTAAGGATTTGTTTAAAAAGATTTTATTTTTCCTTTGCAATCAATAAGGAATAAAATTCAACAACATAACATCCTTCAGATAATATTTATTAAAAGTAACTCTGGAGAATTTAAAAGAGGCAAACAGAAATACGTTAGTCAAAAAAGAAACAAAAAAACTTTAAGTTAATAATATATATATATATATATATACGCATACACACACAAAACAAAATACCAATTAAACTTCGAATAGAAGTTGATATGTGTGTCGGTTTGGAGTTTTGGTGTGTATCTAAACGAGTGATTTCGTAAGAAATATTTCGACAGGAAAATGCATTGGAAGTATTAAATTCGTGTCGTTTCGGCGCCAGTTGTCTTAAAAGAGAAACACGCTCATCTCTGTTTGCTTGGAGAAAACAATATCGCAAATAATGTGTAGGCAACGAATGAAGAGCACTGCATCAACATTATTGGATCAGAAGCAAAACTAACGCTAAATCCAGAACATTACTAAAATGACAAACGACAGAAACCGGAAGTAGTAGAAAAGTGAAATTTGTAAGAGGTGAAGAAAGAATGAGAAATAGAGAGATAGGAGGGGAAAAA